CAAATTTTTGCTCTTGGTTAGTAGTAATTTCTTTTTTGAAGAAAATAAGCATTTTTTTTCTTGCAAATAACAATTTACATTATTTGCTGTGGAGAGGGAGTTTTTTTAACTGAAATTGGGGGTTTCACTGATGAGTCTTCAAATGAGTTTTTTTTCCTCTTTTTTTTTTGCAGGAAAAGACTTAGTTCTGCTCGGGAAAAAATGCTAAAACTTATTTTCTACCTCACTAACGCAGTGGGAAGTGCTACTACTGACGTTCAGAAAGTCGTAGGTTCGACTTTGCCAGTGGAACAACTAGATTGCTTACGATTTGTTCATTCGTTTCAATGGTAAATTGGTACTGATGCATGCCAGGAAGAATGAGCCGTCATTAGCCTAATCCTAAGCAACCTTCGAAAAAGGGAGCCATCTACAGCCCTTGCCAGCAGTGGGCGATTGCTGGTGGCATTTGCTACCAGGGCTATTTCTGGAGTGCCTCTACCTCTCACTGGGAGCGAATACGGAGAGGATTTTTGACTTGACTGATTAATAATCCACAACTGCATTTCATTAGCAATGAGAGCTTTACAATGGTGGTCGAAGGATTTTGCTGCTTTCGACTTAGTGGTGGCACCCTCCGCAATGCGTTACTAAGACAGAGGCTGACTGATACTAGAGCTATCTCACAGGTTGCCTTCGATTTAATTTTCAATTAATTTTTGTTGTTCGAAATGCCTTAACTAGCCTTGTTGAACGGAACTTGTTGCTGATAAAATAGAATGTTATAGCAAGAAGGAATGAAATAATGAGAAAGAAAAAAGGTAAGGAATGAAAATTAGGAAATTTGTGAGATTATTATAATGATAGGAAATGTTTTGGTCCATTAAGTGGCGAGAGAAAGAGGAGAGGGGAAGTTTTCTAGGAGCTGGAAGCATGCTGAGGAGAGGACAGGAAAGGAGGGGACATAAAAAGTGGTTTTTAGGGTCGCAGAATGTAACTTTTTGGAAAAAAAACAATCACGGAAGGATTACATGTGAAGTCAACTGCGCTGCACTGTAACGCTTAACATTTATGCTGAAATGGCAAAGCAGAGCTGAGGAAAATAGCAGCAAAATCCTTGAGGTTTAAACATCTCAACACATTTGCCCTCTCCTAAGTCTTAGGGCATTACTGGCTTTTTGTCCTATAAGGGAACAGCGCTTCCTGATTAGAGGTTTTACTTTTGTTTATCAGGTTGATATTAACATATTTTCATGGGTAGCACTTCAGCCATTCTCTACCTTCTCTCGGTGAGCGAATACGTTCCACATCCTCCCTGGCTTCCATCTTTTCGGGTTATGATGGTGTTTAAAATGGAATGGAGGATGTTCTGAAGTGTTACTTCGTAACTGTATAAACAATCAGACTCTCGGTCAGATGAGCGGTGTGCAGGATGTCGTTGCATCTGTGCGAAAAAGTTAAATTAGGTGGGCAGGATTTGTTGCGGACTTTGCTGACAACTATGATAGTCACGCATTAGTGAGTGGTACTCACAAGAAAGAGAACGACCATTCAAGCGGTCTTTGAGAAGGTTGCGCACAGGTACTAGACAATCGATGGGTGCTAAATTGAAATTATGCACACAAATTTTATGATGTAAAATTTTTATTGTATTTTATTTTGCACATATTTTGATTTAAATATTTTTGTGAAAGCTGCATCAATGCCAGTAACTGACAGTTCCCTCATTTTCTTATGTGTTATTCGTTTTGTCCTTGCTCCTGCTTACTGTAAGTTTGTCTATTTTCTGCTGCTTAATTTATAGGCCCTTTTATTATAAAAATTCATTTGGTTTCGTTTATTTATTTTATCAACGCCACAACTGTCATATTGGCGGGGTTCATTTGGTGCTGCTGAATAGAAATTTATGAAATTTAGTGGGCCGATACATTCTTGTTCTTCTAATTTTTTGATTTAGCTGTGCTCGGCATGCCGCGGCATCCCACTGCCAACACTAAAACGGGACATCCATGCTGGAGTCCAGGCAGTCTTGGCATTGCTGGTATTAAACAGGAGAGCGGAGGAGAGCCCTTCCTGAATTAATATGGCATTCCTAAGGACATCGGCGATGCTGTGGTCTTTGCGCCACATCCCAACCTCATCATCATCCATTAATTTCAGTTTTGTCCTTTATAGGCTCATCCCAAAGTACAGCTGCACTTAGCACACTTAAATAAAGTAAATAAGTTAGCGAAAGAGCTTGATCCTCGCCAAAGATGAATTGCCCGTAATACAGG